AGCCCGTTCTCGATCGTCGATTTTCCTTATCTCCCGCGTGGTCGGCGTCGACGTATCCGAGTAGTCGTACGGACGGTGTTGTTGCTTTGCTGTAGGTAAGCCCGATCGTCGGCGTGGAGACGAAGTAGAGTAGTGCCCGGTTGAGCTCCTCGAGATCTTCCTGTTCCGGTTGCTTCAGATGCGTCGCCAGTTGACTTGCACTGTAGGACAGGTCGGGTCGGCAGGTTACTGCTGCGAATAGTAGGCAGCCGAGCTTCTGTTGATACTCCTGGATTTGCTTCGCGGGGAGTTTTGCGGAGGCGCTGTTGTTATTTCCGTAGCGGTAGGGGGTCGGGACCGTAGTCGGCGTCAGTCCGAATTTCTTCGCGATAGTGCCTGCGTACTTTCCAGCGTGTAGGTAGAACGCCGAGTTGTCTTCGACGACATTTAGTCCCAAGTACTGGGTCACTGAGTCGGACACCGTGATCGTCAGGTCTCCTTTCAGCTCCCCTTCGAACCAGGTGGCGATGTCGGTGGTAGAACCGATGTAGAGTAGGTCGTCGACATAGACGATGAGTAGGATGTATTCTCTTCCCTGCTGCAGTCGGTACATGCCTTGGTCATGCGGTAGCTGTAGGAATCCAATTTTTACGAGCCGGCCGTGAAGATGCTGCTGCCAGAGCCGCGGGGCTTGCTTGATCCCGTAAAGGGATTTTGTCAGTTGGCATACTTTCGTGGGGTCGTCGATGAATCCGTGGGGTTGTTCGACGAAGATCTCAGCGTCCACAGGTGCGTATAGGAACGCATTCGCGACGTCGATTTGGCGTAGTGGTAATGTCTTCGTGGCCGCGATGGCGAGTAGGATGCGTAATGAGGTGTGACGGGAGACTGGAGCGAAGGTTTCTGTGTAGTCGGTCCCGTATCGTTGATCGAAGCCTCGTACGACCCATCGAGCTTTGAATCATTCGATGGAGCCGTCTGAGTTGGTCTTAATGCGGTACACCCATTTCCCCGAGGAGGACGTTCTTCCCGTTGATGCTTGTTGCAGGTACCAGTTTCCATGTTTTCCGGTCTTGCAGAGCCTTTAACTCCTTTTTCCATCGCTTCCTTCCATTTCGCCTTATGTTCCCCCCCCAGAGCCTGCGACAAGGTTGAAGGCTCTCGCGGAGAAGGCGGCGGCGGATGCTGGACGGAGACCCAGAGGCCTAGAATCTGCAGTCCCGTGGGTGTGTGTCGAGGGGAATTTTCATTCCCGGAATAAGCTGCTTCGTCACCGTCTTCTGGGTCAGGTAAGAAGTTGGGACCGATGCGTTCTGAAACATTTGTGTCGACTGGGTGGGGTGTAATGTAACCTTGGTCAGCGAAGTGGTAAAAGGTGTCGAGGTTGTTGCTATCGAGAGGATTTTCTTCGTCGAGTGGAACAGGTACGGAACAGAACGGGAGTGGTCCGGCAGCTTCCGAGGCTTCAGGTACGTCTTCTTCTGCTGCGTCAGCTTCGGCGGCACGGTCGGCGAAGGAACGAAGTCCCGAGAAGCCGTCGGTGGGGTCTTGTGTGTTGGCAATGTTGTCCAGGTAATGCTGCAGCGTCAGTCGCTCGTAGAAGATAACATCTCGTGATGCCACCGTGTTTTTGTTTTGTATGTCGAGAATTTTCCACGCGTGAAAATGTTTGGCGATGCCGAGGTGTAGTCCCCACCGAGCTCGTTGTGTGAAGCGTCCTGCTCGGGCTGTGTGGGGTCTGTACTGTACCATGCAGCCAAAAACTCTGAGTAATTTTGTGCTGCCCTTTTTTCGTGTCCACAACAGGTGCGGTGATGCGTTGGTTGGGAAGTGATGACGAGGACAGCAGGTTGTGCAGGTGAACAGCATGTTGTCATCGCGTCGGGCCACAGTGTGGTTGGCAGTCTCATCCCCTGAAGCAGTTTTCGCATTGTCGTCTGCAAGGTCCGATTCATGCGTTCTGCGACCCCCTGCTGTTGGTGAGCATAGGGCAGGGACACCAGGCGTCTGATTCCTCTTTCCGCCAGATAGGTCCTGAAGCGTTGTGACTGGTATTCCAGTGCACCGTCTGACTGGAAGCTCTTGAGTTTGAGTCCTGATTCTCGTTCGGCGATGGGAAGCCATGTTGTGAAGGCTTCGAAGGCTTGATCGCGCGTCGTGAGATTGAAGTGCCAGACATATCTGGTTGCCGGCGTCGATGAACGTGATGACGTAGTTGAAGTCGGCTTCGGTGTCGTCTCGAGGCATGTTTAAATATCGCTGTAGACCTTTTCCATCGGAGCGTAAGTAGGTGCGCTTGGGTTGTGATGGGATGGGAAAGGTTGATGAGGAAGATCTGCTTCGGGGCATGTGAAGCACCGTGCGCGTGGTCGTCGAAGTTCTTGGCCGCTCGTCGTCAGAAGGGCGTTGCGTTCTAACACTCTGCTTGGATTGTTTGAAGTATCGTGCTGTTTGCAGGATGTCCGAGACGTTGGTGCCAGATGTCGTCGGGAGCGCGGTGACCGGGCGAGCGGTGGTAGATGTCGGCGTTGGAGAAGAACGCGACGACCGAGGCGGGACTTCGACAAGCTTCTCGTGTGGCGGGCATAAGTTGGTCTGCTTCGGTTGGCGGTCCTCGTGTCGCTGGTGGTGGTACTCGGCTGGGTCCTGCTGCCGATACTGCAGGTGATGGTTTTGTTGGGACACTTGCGGGTACTTGTCTTTCTTGTCTGATAACTGCTAATGCTCGTGTTCTCTCTGCTGCAGGTATGGTGTTGGAGTGCCAGAAGCCGTCACTGTCGAAGTCGGGATCAAGATCCGGCGGGTGAGTCCAGGCGGCGAACGATACGATACCGTCGCTGTCGGCAGTACCGCGGTCGGGGACGAAGTCCAACACGAAGACGCCGGACTTCAGGAGGGCACGACCGATGAAGAGGCCGCCCTTCCCGTGGTAAAGCCGGAACTCGTTGGAGTAAGGAGTCGCACTCCAGGTGAATCCCCTTGGCCATTAGTTGGCTTACGCTTAGTAGGTTGTATCCCAGATTGTCGACAATGAGCACTTTGTTGAGCTGAAGTATAACGTTTGTCTCCATGATTGTAACTGAACCACGCCTTGTCTGTTTGTCTTCAGGTTTTCGTTGTTGGCGACGGTGATGACGACGTCGCGGTTGAGGCGTTTCTCCTGTTGCACGAAGCGTCCGAGGAGCACATGTGTTGACCGCAGCAGCTGTCCAAGAACCAGGTGTTTCGCCCGGTGGGTTCGGCGTTGGCGACTGCAGCGTATGTCGGGTTGACCTGAAGTCCTTGTGAGCGCGGGGCGGGAATTCTTCTTCGTCTGGTGCGTAAGTGGGTGGTGATCCGGGTGCGCAGTTGTCGATGTGTACCATGCAGTTGATGATGTTGGTGTTTGTTGTGCAGATGTTGAAGAGCGCCTTGGGGACTTGCTTGAGTGGAAGCGACTTGTGGGTCTGCTGCACGGTAAACGCGAGGGCGGTTGCAGTTGACCTTGGAGTGCCCGGAAGTCTGGCAGTTGTGGCAGAACGGCGGCACGATGGTGAGTCCTCGTTGTCGCGTTGATCTTGCTTGCTGCGTCGGTTGTAGTTGTTGTCATTTCTTCTTTGAGTGTAGAAGACTAACTGCTGTTGCTTCCTTGGTTGTCTTTCCTCGAACAGATCCATCTCCTGTTGTTCAGCGTGAAGCTCGGCGCAGAGGTGCATCTCCGAAATTCTTCCGTGGGCTCGAAGAAGTGATCGTGTGGTTCTCCATTCTGGCCCGAGCCCGGCGAGGACAAGTGTCACGAAGCTTTCTTCAGTGATCGTTCCTCCGCACCGAAGCAGGCGGTCGCGGAGGGTCTGGCAGCGACTCATATACTGCATCGCCTTTTCCCCGGTCTTCATCTGTATTGTTGTCAGCTGTTGCATGAGTCTGCTTTGTGTCACGCTGTCGTTTGCTTGATAAGGCACTTGAGATGGCCATGCGAGTTCCGCGGAGTTTCCATAACTCCGATACGTTCTGATGCTCTGCTGCTCTTGTGGTGACAGGTTTCTCAGGAGTACCGTATACGCCAGCAGCGACTGATACGTGAAGATTCTTGTTCCTTCCCAGTGCCGTTGCTTGGGAATGGCAGGGACCCGTTGAAGTATCCCAGAAGATGCGCGGCCTCCATCAGCAGCTCGAACTCGAAGCTCCAGGTAAAGAAGTCGTGTCCGTTGAACGGTGAGGATGTCTGAAGTTTATCACGTGTGAGAACTGCGCCTGAGACTTAAGATTTCGTTCGGTGTTTGTTGTGATGCAGCTGCTGTTGGCTGGGCACGGGGCGGCATGAACTCGAACGTCCCCGGTGAAGAGTGATAAGGCGCAAAGGTAGGCGCTTGATTGTGTCGCCCGAAGGATGAGTTGTCGAGGCTCATCGGCGCTAATCCCATATTCCCTCCATTGCTCTGTGTTGAGTGCGCAGGTGTCCTTGTCTGCTGCTGCTGGTCGAAGTGTGACATGAAGCTGAAGAATCTCTCCATGAGATTCGGGTCCACACTTGAAGAGGGAGACGGAGTCACCATTCTGGTCTTCCCGTTGTTTCTTGAGCAGTCCCGGTCTCTGTCTGCAGTCCTGAGGTGTGCAGACCAGAGTTGCCGTGTTGAGTTTCTTGGGCGCTGGGTGAGCCCGTAGAGACTTTCTTGCCCTTGTTGTCCATGTCTTGTAATCAATGAGTCGTTGAATCAAGTTGAGTTGCTGGTTGTTGATGGAGTGTAGTTGCTGGGAGTTTGGTCTCTGACCAGCTCTCATACCATGTTGGGCTGAGAAAAGCCCTTAGGATCTTTTGCAGAGACTAAGTCCCAGCTGTAGAATTGAGACTTGAGTAGTGCAGCGGAAGTTGAGGCAGTTGAACCCTTGTACTAGTATATGAGAACAAGTGATTGATTAAAGAAACAAGCATACAGCAATATATAGAAGATAAGAAAGCAGTTGTAGAATACAGTTACAGGAACGGTTTATCGAGTCGCACAGCGACTCGATTGCCGCTTCGGTTACCATCCGTGATGTTGTAACGGTCAGTCGCAACCTCCAGTTGCGACCTTTCGAGTCTTTTGCATTCTTTGTCCGCCCCCTCGTGTAACCTCCGTTGACTCGCGTGCTCCCCTGTAATCTTCCTCGAGTACAGTGTTACACTTCAGAAACGCTCAAGTCCTTTGAGATATTTCCAACATTCTATTCGGGCTGATAAGGTTATTTATTTTTGTTCAACTAAATACTGCTTTGTACACTAACTAGGCATGGAAGCACTGCACAGGCTTTAAAGCCAAAAAAAAAAAAAAAAAAAAAAAAAAACTGCATAGGCTGGAGCATTACACCAACATGTTACATGGCATGCATCTTGTTGGGCTGAGAAAAGCCCTTAGGATCTTTTGCAAAGACTAAGTCCCAGCTGTAGAGACTTGAGACTTGGAGTAGTGCAGCGGAAGTTGAGGCAGTTGAACCCTTGTACTAGTATGTGAGAACAAGTGATTGATTAAAGAAACAAGCATACAGCAATATATAGTAGATAAGAAAGCAGTTGTAGAATACAGTTACAGGAACGGTTTATCGAGTCGCACAGCGACTCGATTGCCGCTTCGGTTACCATCCGTGATGTTGTAACGGTCAGTCGCAACCTCCAGTTGCGACCTTTCGAGTCCTTTCGCATTCTTTGTCCGCCCCCTCGTGTAACCTCCGTTGACTCGCGTGCTCCCCTGTAATCTTCCTCGAGTACAGTGTTACACTTCAGAAACGCTTAAGTCCTTGAGATATTTCCAACACATCTCATAACATGACAATAACATGGAGTGTATGCCTTATGGTGCAAAGCAAACAGATCGACTTGCACCAAGCACTGTCTGCTCTATCAGCCAGGTTTGGCGCTTGGAGTCTTCAGCAGCTCTGTCTGTGTCAGCGCACAGATACGGAAGGAAGGCGGAAGGAAGGGAAAGAAGGCGGAGGCAGAAGGAAGGCAGAAGCCAAGGCGGAAGCAATTGACTGACAAGGAGGCATGGCATGGCAGTCGCAGACGAAGCAAACCTGGCCGGAGCTAGCTTTCGCCTCGTCCATCAGAAAGGTACGGCCCCGAGAGAACTTGTGCGATTGAGCGCAAGGAAGGTGGCATGGCATGGCAGAGGAGGCATGGCAGTCAGTCGCAGACGAAGCAACCCTGGCGGGAGCTAGCATTCTCCTCGTCCATCAGCCAGGTACGGCCCCGACCTGAGAGCTTTGAGAAGCTCCGCCTGAGCCTCTAGGCAAAGGGTGCGCATGGAAGAAAGAAGCTGCAGGCGGGGGAGGAGCAGTCTCCGCCCAAACCTCAGGACAGATGGCGGACATGTCGTGCCGAGCGCAGGGAGTCTATTTTTGAGGCGCCTCAAAAACAGATGGCACATGTCGTGCCGAGCGCAGAAAGTCTATTTTTGAGGCGCCT